GCGCCACGCCACCCCCCGGGGCGTGCCTCAGTTTCCCCACCGGCTCAACGCCAAGCCCCGCGCGCCGCGCCACGCCACCCCCCGGGGCGTGCCTCAGTTTCCCCACCGGCTCAACGCCAAGCCCCGCGCGCCGCGCCACCCCACCCCCCGTCCGGGGCGTGCCTCAGTTTCCCCACCGGCTCAGCGCCAGGCCCCGCGCGGTCCCGGACGTGCCTCAGTTTCCCCACCGGCACAGCGCGGGGGCGGCTCCCGGGAAGGGGCCCGGCAGTGGGGGAGGGGGGAGGGGCGGCAGGGTCCCGGGGGGGCGGGGTCCCGGCAGTGGGGGAGGGGCGGCCCTGGGGGAGGGGCGGTCCCGGGGGGGAGGGGGGGTCGGTCTCGCTCTCTCGCTCACCATCCCGGCCGCTCCCCGCTCGCCCAGACGCAGCCGCAGCCCCCGGCTCCGCCACCGTCCCAGCCTGCACCGCGTGACCCGCGACGCACGGCGCGCGACCCCGCGCTGGCCGCCATCTTGGGAGAGGCGGTGCCTCTGCCAGGGCGGGAGGGGCGGGGGGGAGGCCGGGTCAGCGGAGCGGCAGGACCAATGGGGAGAGGGGAAGGCCTGGCGGGCGGCCATGCTGGGAAGGTCACTTCATAAAAGGCGTACACGGGCGGCCATGTTGAGATGGTCACGGCAGCGTCTGGCCGCCATAGCGCGGAGGGGCGACATGTTGAGAAGGTCATGTGCCAATTCGCCATCTTGGAAAGGTCAAAGTTCAAGGAAGGGCGGAAAAACACCTACCGGCAGCCATTTTGAGAAGGTCCAATGACCTTTTGCGGACCCTGCCCTGCCGCCATGTTGGGAAGGTCAATGGAGTGGGGTGAGCCCGGACGCCTGGGTTCTATGCCCCAGCCCTGGTCGCTGCACAGATCCCCTCCCCAGATCGAGATCTGTGAGCCAGCCCCAAGCCCCTTCCCCAACGTTTAGCCAAGACACCCGAGCGCATCTCGGCCAACGTGCCGGCTGTGACTTTCCCGGTGGCGAACTTCCCTCTGAACAGTGCCGCTGCCTCTGCCACTGTTCCCGCCGCCCCTGTCCCCACTGGGCTTCCGCAGCCGACTGGCTGGCCTCGAACTTCCTCGCTGGCCTCGAACTTCCAGCACCCGCCAAGCCCGCCTTGGCCCCCACAGCTCCTGGCCTGGCCTGGCCCACCCAGCCCGTGGGCTGGCCCGACCCCCCCACTTCATATTGCAGCGAGAGCCCCCTGTGTCTGCACGCGGAGATCGGACGCCATGCAAGCACGGCGCCGTGTGACGCCGACAGACCCCGGGGGTCGGCGGGTGGGATCGAACCTGGGACCTCGGGAACTAAATGCATGAGCCTCTCCTGCAGGAGCTAAAAGCCACGTGGCCCTTAGCTCAGGCTGTACAGCCAACTCATTCATCTCTTGCTAAGTAGTCTCAGTGCCACTAGATCAGGGGTGGGCAAAGTTTTTGGCCCGAGGGCCACATAGGGGTGCGAAACTCTATGGAGGGCCAGGTAGGGAAGGCTGTGCCTCCCCAAACAGCCTGGCGCCCTCCCCCATCCGCCCCCTCCCACTTCCTGCCCCCTGACTGCTCCCCTCAGAACCCCCGACCCATCCAACCCCCTGCTCCTTGTCCCCTGACCGCCCCCTCCTGAGAGCCTCCGCCCCTAACCACCCCCCTGAGGCCCCGCCCTCACTCCGCCTCTTCCCACCCCAGCTCCGCCCCCTTCCCAAGGCCCTCCTTCCCGCCAGCTGCTCGCCGTCCCCAGCACCTCCCGCCAGCTGTGGTGGGTGGGTACTGAGCACCCCCTATGTTTTCCATGGGTGCTCGAGCCCTGAAGCACTCACAGCGTTGGTGCCTATGCCCCAGCCCCGAGTCCCTTCCAAGTGTCACCTGTGGGGTCCAGCCCCTGATCCTCCGTTCCCAAAGCACCAGCAAACCCCAGTTGGCCAGTTTCTGATGACAGTAAAAACCAAAAGGAAATTTATTCCAGAAAGAAAATCGCTTCAACTGGAAACACGTGGGAGAGACGGAACAACCGGTCACGTATAAAACAAACCAGAAAACACAAACTAGGACCTACCCCGATCAATAGGCACCTTTCCTAGCTAGCAAAGTAGCGCGTCACCCCCAAATTCACTCTTTTGCAGCGTTAGCTTGTCCCCAGGACACCCCCGCGTCCCCGCTCATCAAGGTACGCGCAGAGTGGCCTTCTCCACCCTGTGAGCTACTGGACCAGTTGCTCGTCTCTGTTCACAGACAGGGAAAGCCCCTCACTGCCCTGTCGTTCCATTGCACCTCCATGTGGTTTGCCGTTGTCTTTGCGCGTTTCCGTTGACATCTTCTGGGCTGGGACAAGGGTGGAGAACTGAACCCTGAATTCCATCACCCCCGTTACTGGGATGATCACTGCTACCTGAATGGGCCACCGCTGAGCCGTCTGATTCCCTGGTGACACTCTTGCACTCCGAGACCGCCAGGGCACACATTTCAATGTTAGTTACATGATTCCTTAAATATGACCGGTTCCACACATCTCGCAGTGATTCGGAGTTTCAATCATAGAATCTCAGGGTTGGAAGGGACCTTAGGAGGTATCTAGTCCAATCCCCTGCTCAAAGCAGCACCAATCCCCAACTAAATCATCCCAGCCAGGGCTTTGTCAAGCCGGGCCTTAAAAACCTCCAAGGACGGAGATTCCACCACCTCCCTAGGTAACCCAATAAGTCACAAGCTTTCAGTAGAGACCTCACGTGCAGCTCCGCTGCTCGTTTTCTAACTCTGAAAATACGTATTGTAGATTCTTACTCTTTGTACCCGCTCTCCTTACTAACAATGATACGCATCTTGATTGAAGTCGGCTGGTTAGTGTGGAAACAGCTACTTCATGCTGTGTTTCACCAGGGCAAGGTAAAGCCCCATGTTTACTACGGTTGTGCTTCACACTGTTTTTTAACAATCTGGTATTAAATAGGCTGTACGAGGGTTGTGCACTTGGGGAATAATACTAGTTAACATTTTGCTTGTTCTTAAACCAAAGGCCCACATCCACATGGGGGGAAACAGAATAACCACGTGCCAGCCTTGCTTTACCCTGGAGTGCCGTGTGAATTGCTGAAACTTGCTTTCAAATGTGCCTTTTTAAAATGGGGTTCTTTAAAAAGTGAGTTTGGATGCTTAAGTTGTTTGTGATTTAGAGGCATAAGCACTGAACGTTTTTTTTTCTCCGGGAAAATGTACGCGTGACCTCGGGCGGGTGGGGGAGGCGAATGGGTCTGTGGTTTTTTTTAAAGTATTTTGTCGCAAACTGTTTGGGTTTTGGATGCTTAAATATACGGGGTGCCAAATGTGGGCCGTGTATGTTTTAAAATGGTTATAAAAGTTGGTTTTCGTGTTTAAAATATTTAGGAACGTGGGCGGGTGGGTTTTCTACAGTGTTTTGTTGCAATTGCAAACTGCTTTTGAGGGCTTAAAATACTAGGAGATTCTTTTTTTCACTCTGTGCAAATGTATGTTTTAAAACGGGATAAAAAATTAGTTTCGATGCTTAAATTGCTTGTGATTTAAGGGCATATGAAATGTGTCTTCCC